CTGCGCCAGGAATGGATAATTCTATTATAATATTACAAAGTAATATTTCAGTCTTCAGCGTTGATTTAGATGGCAAAATGTCATTTGGCAGTTTATTTCTCTGGTCCTTTCCTTTTGATAAGTTGTGCCGATCATTCTCTTTTGGTGACATCAGGCACTTTGTTTTAAGCGCGCAACCATTCTGATACCGCCTTTGCGGACCGGCGTTATTTGAATGGCGATGCTGCAACCAATCGTAATATATTCCACCAGAGGTTATGGACCTGCTGGCCTCAGTCGTGCGAGGCATTTCAATGGCTCTTCTTGTCGATGTCAGTTATGTATGACGCAGCGTTATTCTACTCATGTGCAAATCATGTGCATTCCTTGTAGTGAAAGATCGTACTAGACCGTCATGGATCTTATTGCGTCGAAGATAAGGGAGAGGTCTTAATTAGGTTGTGACTCCTGGCACCTGGAACAGGCAGTTACGGACATACCAGTTTAATATTTCCGGCGTGACACCGTCCAAGATTTGATTTTGCCCTACACTGAGACAGGGTAGCGGGGAAAGTTGTCTTAGAAAACCAGATTGCAAAAATAAGCTATGCAATAACAAGTGAAAAGACGCACTTGTGCATTCCTTGACATTTAACCTAAGCCATGCCGCTATATCGCTTACATCAGCGCAGTGCATCCCGTTTTATCTTGGTGTGTTTACATGTTTGTCGGAGAACAATAGGCGCATTTTTGGCACATCTAGCCAGTCCGCTTAGCACTAAATATGGAGCTAATAATTCAGCTGTGCATTTCAATGAGGGTGGTTGTCCATCTCCAGCCCATCTGTCCATTCTTGCCGAAGATGGATGCGATCCATGTCCCTGTGGGCACCAGGATCGAATGCCGGCGTTTGGAGAGGAGATAGTTTGTATTATCATTTGTCAGATATCTCCAACGTTACATATGCATGAGGAGTGGTAGTCAATTTCAGTTCCTTTTATGGTAACCAAAGCTTCAGCTTGTGTGTGTGATTGGGGCTTTATGACGCACCCAGCTGCTGAGGCTATATGGCGTCGCCTGCCTCTCACCCTGGCAGGAAGGGCGGGCACCGCGGGGAATCGAACCCCGTACCTCTGGTTTCCCAGACGCGTAGTGGTTAACGCAAACGTGTTAAACATTACACTACCGGCACCCCTAAAGTTTCAGTTTGGGAGGACCAAAGGAATTACTGAGGGAGCATCATGCCCCTCCCCCCCCCCCCCCGCCCCCCTGGAAAGACATGGAGCTTCATCCATGCTACGTACACACGAAAGAGCTGCCGACTTTGCTTGTGGATGCGGCTGGCGTAATTGTACACACACGTTTTATGAAATGAGCTAAATTTGAAACATGCGACGCTGACTTTGCCCTTGATTTTGTTGTAGGTTTTATGGTGGTTTTTATTTGTTTTATCCTATGCGATGCTTTTTTGGCCATGTCTATCGCACTTCAATAAGCAACCCTCACCTGAGCATCAAATTTGGAATAAGCTACTTATCAACGGAACTGATCCCAATTCCTACTCACTAATGTATGGGCCTGAACTTGCTGCTGTGCACTGCTTGAACCCGAATATGGTTTAGGCAGTGCACAGCAGCTGAATTGGTTCCTGGTCCGACTCAAGGAGATTTCCATCAAGTTTGAAATTGGTTTCGATGGAGTCCATAACTGTGTCGAACATGTTTCGGTCCAATTCAGAAAAACTGTTTAGCTTGCTTTGACTCTATTGGAAAGCTACAGCCGTTTCCAGATCGTCGTAAGCAGGTAAATGGAGATTTATCACGGTCTGTGGCATGGCGGCTTCATCCCGCTACACTATCTAATACTCATGAACCGTGATCACATGGCACTCGCTCTTGGAACTGCAGATAGCGACATGCAACACAATACCCGCTCTGTTCACGAGCTGTCGGCTCTGAGAGATTTGGGTCACGGCTGAACCGCACACCGGCATTAGAATCTCGGCAAGGGGGTTATCGTAATAGCGGTCCTCGCTGGCTATGGAGCGATCTCGACAGTTTACCGGTGTCAAGCATTTTCCATGTGACTAGACCAGATCCTGATAGCGCAGTGCACGAGCAGATGGCTGGACCCGCAACTCAAAATTCGAACGCTGTTTTTCAGCTGTCATTTAGGTATGCTGGTAACCGAACGTGACCAGCGTTTTTGCCCAGTACAAACATATCACCAGAGCGTTAACTAGCGTAGAGCAAAAGCCTGTCACCAAAATATTGAGGAGCGTGATGTAAGCTAAATGTGTCCGCATGCGAATGCGTTTTGAATCTCCACAGGCTAAATGTTAACCGGTGCTATGACCGTGCCGCGCCAGGCCTCTCCGGCTGACCTTGCTGACCGTGGCTTCTAGTTCAACAACAGTATTAGCATTTCGTAACTCCCATGACAGCAAGCCCCTGTCCGCATTCTCAGCTGGGCTTGAGGCCAATGCGCCTCAAGATCAACTCCCGGAAGAGAAGTATGCTTTGGGTGTTGAGTGAACCGCAAGATTCCGCGCGATGCCCTCTGACGAGATCCCGGTTTAGCTGCAGCTTCCGCGTTGTCCATTTGGGGAAGCCGGGCCCGCCGTCGCCGGTGTAATCAATCTCTTTGCGCTGAGAGGCTTCGCAGGTGGCTCTGAGGTGATCTCATTACCTCACGGGCAGGGCTCTCGGGAAGGCCTTGAGGATACCAGCAGCGCTGGGCGTCTTTGAGCTTCACGTCTGTTTGTTCTATCGGTCCGCTCAGTCTGCCAGTGTTTTGGTTTGTCTCGGGCGAAGAGGGCTTGTGCTCTCCGCGAGCTTGTGCTCGGTACTAACAACACTCCTCCCGAATGCATAAGCAGTGGAGTGGTGCCGAGTAATCGTTTCAATATCGAAAGGTCTGGAGTTCAATGCCCACCGCAAACCAGCTTTGCTGGCGGGCTGTGGCGTCGCTGATGACAACAGCGACATTGCGCATCGATAAATAGCTGGTCTCACCTTCGAGGCGGTCAGCGTGATGGTGAAACTAATTCGAGGCGTGCCGTAGCATGATGTCCGTCGTCGGCCCACCAGAGGGACCGGCAGCGTCATCTTAGTGCCTCAGTTCGGCGCAGCTCCCAGGGAGCTCCGTATTAGCGGTAGCACTGGTCCTGGCCACCAGACCGTTAAAGTCCAAAATGTGAGCCCGTGTAGGGTTTAAACGTCTTGGCATCGGTGCCTCGACACCTGTGAGCGTCACAGCTGTCCTTCGTCAGTGCGCCCCTGCAGCTGAAGGGACTCACCGCTGCAGTGGCGGATTAGTTCGGCCGCATTGATGGATGACGGCGATGGACGGAAACATTGTTCCAGCAAAATGGAATGGAGTCCGACGAGGCTGTCGCTTCTGATTCCACCCGCCGTATAAGTCCGGCCCGCTCGCTGCATTGCATCAACAGGCGTGTGCACTGGTGGCGTGGAAGGTCAAGTTCATCGACCCGAACCGGTCGCGTCCCTGTAGCTCACCTTGACTCGTGGTGCATGGCGACTCTAGTGGCGCATGTCGCAGGTATCCGGCCAGCGGACCGCGTCCGGCGGACGACCGGCCAGAACGTCCGGCCTTGGCGGGGTGGGAGGAGATAGTTTAGGCGAGCGTTGTTTCGTGGAGAACGGGTGCTGATTTAGCTTCAATTGACGTCGAATGGCATGGGCCTTAATCACTTTTTACGCAACAGACCTTCACAAAGGTCGACGATAATGACAAAGGACGTTTGGTAAGTTCTTGTGAGAAGCAGTTCTTATTCGCACCTGGTGATGGGCGGATACATACTGCTCTCACTCGGTTTGCGGGCAATTCACACGGAGGTAGGACCCACGTGTTCAAACTGATATAATTGGTTATATATATATATATATATATATATATATATATATATATATATATATGCTTCCGCGAGTTGACGTGGAAATTGATCAACAGATCTTACGAGTACTAAGCGTGTGTGTAACCCATGGTGTCAATGCAGAGAGGTTCCTAGAATTCGGTGCTTAGACATCAGATGAATCGACTGCCTGTACGGAGAAAAACTAGCCTAAGTAGAGAACAGTCACGGCTTGGTCACACGACTTCGGGGGCGTGAAAAGCAGCTTATGAGGAATGGGGACAGAACCAGCAACAGTTATGCTCTCAGAGCAAAGTCTCCCTAAACCGGAAAAAGTGTCTAAGGCTTTCGTTGACCGTGTCGGGCGAGTCCAAAGGAAGGCCAGCATGGCGCTCATCCCTCAACGCTCCACCGCTATTGAGCATTCGTCCCTGACAAAGACAGGCTCACGAGCAGCCCTCGGCCCCCGCCTGCAGATGTTGTATGGAGGTCTCGAGGAGAAGGGGAGGGAGGAGGCAGGACGCTGACGTGCAGCGGCGGCGTCGGTTCGCTTGCAGCCCTGGAGCGACACAAGGCAGACCGCAAGGGCAGCTGCAAGGCCATCGCCGGTTGACTGCGCGATTGGCATGACCAAGCTGTGGCTTCTTGTGGGCGCTTGACAGAACAAACTGCTCCCGGTGTTGCACGTTGGACGGTTGTTACGGTTCTTCGCTTTTGCGTATGTTGCGCGGCAGTGCTGTGGAACAAGGCGTTAGCCGCGCGTGCGGAGTCGTGTCAAAGTTATCCGCAGCAAGGTCTAAACGCTGATTACCGCAAACACATGAGCAAAGACAGGCTTACCGGTAGGCTCGTAACGTATTTGTACCTTAATGTTGTTTTGTTTTATCCGTCATCCAAATTTTTTGATCGCGTGAGGTACTAGAACGACACACCAGCCGCCTTAATTTTATCGCATCAGTGATTACGGATGACGTGCAATTGGTGTACTCAAAAATGATAAGCCATCATGGTACAACATTGCCAAGAGCCTACAACCCTTTTTCATAATTATGGTTACCGTTTTGGATGGATGTATGGCCCATTGAGGGCGAACTTCTCACGAGCCCGCCGACGCCAGCGCCGTCACCAACCCTCACCGCCGTTGCAGGTGGGGCCGTGCCTGGCACTGGCTCTGTGCCTGAGCGCCCCAGTCGCGGCCCAGTACGACAGCGTCGTCCTGGAGGTGGCGCCGGCCGTCGAGCCGGGCCGGCCAGCGCTGCCGCTAGCCAGCGAGCGGCTGGGCCCAGCGCCGGCCGACGGCTCGCCGGTGCTGCGTTCCTCGCAGGGGCCCGAGGGCTTCGCCTACGAGATCAGCCACCCCGTGGAAGACGCCGACGGCGAGCCGGCCACGGCGTGAGTCCTCCCTCGCTCCGGTGACTCTTGTGTTCGTGCCCGTGCCCGTGCCCGTGCCCGTGCCCGTGTCCGTGCCCGTGCCCGTGCCCGTGCCTCTAGTCCCGACCACGTGCACATGTCCAAAATGGAGTTGATCGTCTAAAAGCCTCTTATCAGTCCCGGCGTCTCTGCGATCTCAGCCGGCGGCAGCGGCGCTGGCTCGCAGTTCGCCCTCTGGCGATGGACTCTCGGCACCGGATTGCAGCGGCTCCCCCCCCCCCCCTTCCCCCTACCGCCTGCTCGCTGTCGGATGCTCTTGGCATCGACTTCGCATTAGCTCGGGCCCCTTATCTGATATGGCGCGCTTCTACGGATCATGAACGGCGGAAAACTACTGAATCACCGAAGCGTTTAGCGTTTCTGGCTCACGGCGGAGATCGCCGATCAGATCTCCGACCGCACGATGGAGACTATTAAACGGATAGGTGGGCGGCGAATATCCCATCACCTGCAGCTTCCCCCCTCCTCCCGTCCCACTCTTCTCCCCACCACCCCAGCTCATGACTCTCAAGTGCTGTCCGGATGTGCCCATCGGACCAGGGTTTGTCACTTGGCATCTCGCCAGCTCTTCTAAGCCGATGTAATGTCATGGCCATAGCAGAGCATAACGGTGTCCGTGGCATGCGGTGGCACAAGTTGGGAAAAAAGACGGGCTTGGCAACTATCTGCCGAAGTGCACCAGACTCAGCAGCGAAGAACGCCTCTCATCTCAGCGCCAACCACCGTGATACATCAGCATGGCTGATGAGGTGATTGTCATGCACGCGTGTCTCCATGACTAATTCGAATTCAGCTGACCACCGTGACGTCACTGAGTCGCTGAGCGAATCACAAATTGCGGCAGCGCCGTTGCCCATGTGGCATCCCGTGGCGATGGGAGAGTCACGCGGCAACAGACGCCCGACCGAGAGTCGGGTCAGCGAGCTCACAGCGAGCAGCAACATTGAAAGCACGGCGGGAGGGGAACAAATTAGACGCGTCCCGCTGCGACGTGATGTTCGTACCAACAGCCGGCAACACTGGTCGACATCACCAGGTCAACATCATGAACATCGGCTCGCGGAAAAACCTGGCCCGTATCCGATCCAGTCATTTCAATTCAACCGCCGTCGCCAGGCTGGGAGCATTCTTGCTAAGCGTTTGCCGATCTGCGCTAGCACAGGCACTGATGTCATCTACCTCGCACTAGCACAGGCACTGATGTCATTCAATCTCGCCTTAGCACAGGTACTGATGCCGTCCAATATCGCGCTGGCACCAGCGCTGATGCCGTCCAGTATCGCGCTGGCACCGGCGCTGATGGCGTCCAGTATCGCGCTGGCACCAGCGCTGATGGCGTCCAGTATCGCGCTGGCACCAGCGCTGATGGCGTCCAGTATCGCGCTGGCACCAGCGCTGATGGCGTCCAGTATCGCGCTGGCACCAGCGCTGATGCCGTCCAGTATCGCGCTGGCACCAGCGCTGATGGCGTCCAGTATCGCTCCTCCCGGGCTGCATACGTTCCGTTAGTTTCTGCGACGCTCTCCGTCACTGTTCAGGGCCGGGCACCAGAGGCAGACGGTGGGGTCGGGTGACCGGCCGGCTGCAAGTCCGTTCAGTCAGACTGCGCCTCACATACGGCCCGTTGTGGGTCAGATGTCCTCACATGCACTTATTGTCGAATGGGATAGCCGCTGGAGTTGGTCGGCAATGCTTGGACTGGACAGAATGCTCCTCACCCACATTCCTCTCCGAACAGGATGACCCTCGCTTATATTCCTGCCAGATTGTTCCTCGCTTATGGTCCCGCCAAAGCATGATGTTCTTGACCCTCCGCCTCATTCGAGCCGAATTCAAGCCTTCTCCCCAAATCTCACGGTGGGAACAGCCGAAAAGAAGTCCGCCGGACCCACGGCTCGCACCCACAGCGGATCCCAGCTACCAAAACCTCCCCAGCGTGTGACTCCTCAGCAAAGCATGGTCAGTTGCCCCACGAAGCGGGCCCAACCCGCCATTGTTCTCAGCCCAACCAAGGACCATTGCCTCCGATGTCGTGGCGCCACACGCCGCACTACAAGGGTGCCGGCGCCTTCTGAGCGTTTGGCACCGATGCTGACGTATCCTGCTGCAGGGTTGGTCCCATGCATCCGCCAAGATAACGACACGCGAGTGTCCCGCTCCGACTGGATTAGACACAACGGAAGCATTTTTGGCGTCAGCGCTGATGACCGTCACGGCTGAAGTCGTTTTCCAATATCACGACACCGCGTTAAGTTCACCGATATCCCTGCAAAGATTGCTGATGCTCTCACGAGACAGGGTTTGGCCAGAGGTATCCTAATGGTTTAACCTTCAGCGGTCTGAACGTGAGTTAGTTGAGGCATGCTGCCCCGGCCTCCATGCACTGGACCGCGCCTTCCTTCCAGCGTCCTTCCGACTTTGGCTGTTTTTGCCACCGAACTATCCATTGCCATTCCATGCCTTTGATGGGCGTCCGTGCCGGGTAATGTGGTTTTTTATTCCAGTGTCGCTCGGCACTGGCATGGAGCTGGTTTGATCGGAACGAACGATAAACGAGCTTGACAGCTGAAATCGCCTGAGCAACAGTATCCTTACGCCTGACAAACAGCTGTTTTAATTATGGTCGTCCATCATAGGCGGAGTGTGTCAGTCATATTACCGCCATGGGCGCTTAACACCGCTCAACCCCAGCATATCGCAGATGGGGTTAATGCGCCAAGAAGGCGCACCCGATAAACATAATGGCTGCTTCGTGACCCTGCGAATATAAAAAACTGGGTAATCGACTATGAGTGATTACTAAGTACTCAGAATGAATGACGAGTTTCCAGTCTAGCCCGCTAGCGACGATGTTTGTGGTTAGCTCTCGGTGAGTTAATTGACCTCTTAGTTCACGTCCGAATGCTTGAGTCGCATGGCAGGATGCAACATGACACGGCTTTTACTTCGGGCTGATCACACGACATTAAAGCGGAACACAACAAAGCGAGGCACTTCCAACTGGTCATGTAACGTACAGCACGAAAAGAAAATACAGAAGTGGAGGTTGTGTGTTAAAAAATGCGAAGGGGAACGTTGCTAGTTACACGGAGGATGTCATGCTCAACTGAAAAATTAATTATATAAGTAAATAATTAATCAAAAAGGTACATGGAGTCGCCTGCTTCTCACCCTGGCAGGAACGACCTGTACCACAGGGGAATGAACTTCGTACCGGTTTCGTAGACGTTAAGTCTTTATACAAACTGTATCGCATAGCATACGGAGATGGTATCGGAGTTCATGCCAAGCACAATTTTTATGGAGGCACGACCAATATTTGCGGACAGATTTTAGGGTGATTCGCGCTGTCGTGGCACGGGCGCCATGATCTAAGTGTGTTACTACCGCAGGTGCGTGACCAAGACTTACCTGGCGGACATTTGCCATTTTTTCTCCAATCTCCTGTGAATTTAGAACAAATTTCTGAAAAACGCTCAATATCTAATATGAATTTCTTAGATCAAGGGAATGAAATATCCCCGTCTAATCTTTATCCCCCCTCCCCCCCCCCCCCCATTCCTTTGGCTACGTCTCTGGTATCTTAGCCGGCCGCTGATAAGGCGTCAAAGCAAACACAAGAAAAGCTTTTCTCGAATGCAAGCCCACATTCTTGTCACACAAAATATGTTTCCACTCATAGATAGCATCCATCTCCGCGTTGCAGCTGCAATTAATGGGGAGGCACCAGTCTGTGATCGCTCTAATCGTGTGCATTAAGTGGAAGCTTTCCACCAATTTCCTACCGGTTTTCTCTCCCTCTACCTCAGACCGGCTGTCAGTGTTGGAGCTCTCAAACTGATAATATCTAATACGAGACTTTCATATGTATCTTTACCCAGTAGCTGATAATAGCTGAAAAGTTTTTGATCAGTCGCGTGCCGCTTTTCCCTTGCAGCTTTGAGCCTGATGGCATCCGATTTGAGATATTCGCCACTTCAGTGTGTCTGTGTGCCTATCCGATGTTCATCCCATGGTTGTTTGGCCTTCGATGAGCTGTTAGGATATTTTATTATAAATTGGTATCAATATCTATGCTGTATGCTAATATCTATAGCCTTAAACACTTTTGATGAGTGCGTCTTGGCATCTAATTCACGGCGAACACGCCTTGGTATCTAATTAGCTTCTTATTTTTCGTCCATCTACTTATCAAAGTTTTAGGGTTCCTTTCTTTTAGCACTGTCGTGTAGCCAATTGTTTCGTGGCCAGCAGCTACAATGGGCGAAATGGAACCCTCTTTGATGACAAGTGGCATGCGTCCTTTGCTTATAAAACCGCTGGTAGTAATGAGGTTTCGACGTTAAGCTCACAAATGCAGAACACGCACAAAAATTGGCACTTTTTTGCACCCCAAACCGGTGTTATGGTGTATCTTCCATGCGTGTACGAGATTGAGGTGCCGACACCGCCGGGCGGCTCCCCCTGAATACGCGCCGGCTTGCTGTAGCCCATCTCTAGGCGGTGGAAACAGCACATCGAGTGGAGTTTGCCTTGAGCTCAGCAGCTCAAGGTCACCTGGTTCCAGTTCAAGTTCTGCCGATTGATCGGATATGGTCCTGGCAAACTTGTCAACTTCCCGCGCTTTGGTTCCTGTGAACCTTCCGTCCGATGCCTTTGTTGACATACATTTGCATTGGTAGGAGCGCATAACTGATGAGTTTCCATGAGAACCATGCTTAAAATTAAAAAAATAAAGGCTCTTAGCCCCTGGTTTTTCGGCACCATGAGTTCAGAGTTGTTTTGCTGAGTTATCGACCTTCAATATGCCAGGAGGTACCGCACTCTAATATTTTAGTGCTCAAGTGTTCAAAGACAGCGCTTTGCTTATCCACAAGACAACCATGCTTGCGATTTAACGTCGTTCAGCCCGTACCTTATGGGATATCGAAGACCGATAACTCGGCAGAGTAAAAGTGAACTCATAATAAGCAGTATTTTGGAGTGTGAGCAGTATTTTGGAGTGTGTTTGAGACCCGACCAGCACCAGAAAAGGCACCCGATATGGTTTGGGCACATTTCTGACAAACAGCGCCTCTGTCAATTCCGTTTACCCAAGACCCGTCAGCACATCCTGAAAAATCTCCTTAAAATATATCGACGCGGTAGCTGGCAGCAGCATGCGCCATCTTTGAAGCGGATCCGGTTATAACCGGATGTGCGCATCGGCAGGACGCAGTACCATGCTCAAGACGGACTGGGCAGGTACCGCTACAGCTACAAGCACCCGGGCTCCGCCCGTGAGGAATACGTGGATGAAAACGGCCGCATACAGGGCAGCTACTCCTACAGGGACCCCAACGGTAAGCAGACCGCTGAACTCCGTGTGTGGCGGCGACGGTAAAGCGCATGGTCCAGTTTTGACCACTCGTCAGAGAACGTTTGCATTGTTCTTTACGTATGGCGCGAATGTGGCCCTTGACATGCATTTAGGTTGTCGCATCCGCATGTGAATCACATAAGGTGTGGAGCACGGTGGAAAGCACAGCGTGTGGTTCATGGCCACGGGTGAACGGGCGGCTCATGACCTGGAGTTTAAGCCAGCCTCAACTGTCCGTTTTTAAGTGATGCCCGTCGTGTGACATCTGCTCTTCTCATCATCATCATCATCATCATCATCATCTCACGGAACTGCGGTGGCACGATACGGACCTATTGCAGACGTTTGAAAATACTCACAGAAGCTATTTGTATGTAGCCCCCGTTCCACCGAGCATAGCTTCCCTCTGACCTCTGACCCCTGCGTGACCCCGCACCTGCGCCCAGACGAGAAGCTGTCGATGACGTACTACGCGGACGACACGGGCTTCCACGTCAAGAGAGCCGTGCTGCCAGATTTGGCAGCGCGGGCGCCGCGCGACGAGCCCGCCGTGGCGGCGATCAAAGCGGCGCACATCCGGCTGTGGCGCAGCATGTGGGAGCGGGCGGCGGCCGCTTCCATCGGAGCTCCCATCGACCCCAACGAGCCACCGCGAGAGGTCAGCACCGGTCACTTACAAGGCGCGGCGGCCGGGGGACGCCGTGTTGGGGTTGCGTGGAGCAAGGCTCGGCGGTGAAGGGGACGCTGTGTTGAACGTTGGGTGGAGCAAGGCTCGGCGGTAGGGGAACGCTGTGTTGGGGTTGCGTGAGCAAGGCTCGGCTGTAAAGGGGACGCTGTGTTGGGCGTTGGGTGGAGCAAGGTGCGGCACTCAGTGTTGCGGTATTTCTGTAAATCTACGGGAATTAGAACCTACTTTTGGAGAGTTTGAATGCTAGATTGCCATGATGTGCCGTGATATGTGCAATTATCAAACACAAATTAGCGCAATTTTAAAATGTTTCACGTCCGTGACGCATATTTGTGCCTTCGTCCCGCGCTACAGCGTTTGCTGCGCATTTGATTGCCCTCCGGAACACCACCTTCTCCGCCATTGATCTCGAACTAGCCCGCATTGCCCTCACGCCTACCAAACCCTCTCCGCAGGAGTACGTGCCCTTGCCCGAGGAGATCGCTCCCCTGGACGCCGAAGTCATCTCGCTGGAAGACGAGGTGCCGCCGGCCGCTGTCCCCGACCAGCCGCCGAAGTACGACTCCGCGCAGTACGAGCCCGCGCAGTACGAGCCGTCGGCGAACGAGCCGGACGAGCCAATCGTGCCCATCTACCCGGGCGCGCCGGACGCGCCGGCGCAGCCCGTCTCCAGTGCGCCCAAGCCGCTGCCGGTGCAGAGCGGCGCCGGCCTCAGCAGTCCGGACGCCGAGACGGTGGTGGTGGAGGCCCGCGACGCCAGCGCCCCTGGTGGCGGCTCGCGGCGGCCGGCGCAGCAGTACCCGGAGCGGCCGCTGCAGCGCGCCGGCGTGCCGCCGCCGGCGCCGGCGGCGTGGGGCGCGCTGCCCACCGGCGCGTTGCGCGTCTCCGATCAGGCGGTGCGCGCCGCGCGTGTGCCGGTGGCGGCGCGGCATAACCTGGCGCAGGTGCGGCCGTCGCAGCGCGCGCCCGCCGGAGAAGCGGCGCCGCTGCTGGAGGACCCGCTGCTCTACTACTACTCGAGCTTGCTGTACGAGGCCCGGGAGGCTGCCAAACCGCCTAAGATCATAGTCGTGTGAGCGATGGGAGAGGAGGCCGGCTGACGCGTGGAACACCAGATCACGAGACAAAAACGGCGCACTGCTCCGGCGGTGGCTGATGTCGAGACGGGCATTCCGACGAGGTGATTAGAGAAGCAAGTGTAGTTCTATCTAGTTCGGAGTCATGAATCTGTCACTTCCATTGCATACCATATCAAGCAATAAAGACACTCAATGTTGCAGATGCACAACTGGCACGTATGTTTTCGGAGACTGACGTGTTGCAAGGTAAATAATGACAGTGGATTGCTTATGTTTGCCAGAAATGGTTTCAGTGCGCGTCGAACGCCAGTGAATAGCGCGAATAACCGCAGGATAATGTCCAAAACACTTAAACCCGCTGCAATCTCCTGTTCCGTGTGGTGCAGCTAATACCAGACTTATCTTGACTGCATTGCAAGTGGAAAAACATGCTAGTTGTGATGACAGTTATGACGTTATCCCCCCAAACATGCCAGCCTCTTCGCTAAGACGCCGGTAAGTAGCATGCGCCGGCACTTTTTCCGGATAAGCAGTTGAAACCATGGATTTGCAGCAATTTATTTACTGTTATAAGACGCATTCTTTTATCTACCGGAGTATCTGAATCAGTGTAAAGCCTTGCCGTACCTTGACATATGACGTATGTCATTTGAAAAAGTATGTCTGCAATGGTCGCGGCCAGCAATCGGAAACACGTAGCCTAAACTCGACGCGTCGCCGTTGAGGCAAGTGCCAAGCTCAGCTTACAGCATTCGAAAAAAACAGCAAAGGTTCTTGTTGAGAAAAGGATGTACGAAATAGACCCCACAACCACATTGGTTATTTTTGCAGCAGTTAGAATGCATTATAGTCAGCTGTGTACGCGTCAGTTATGCGCAAGACATTTCCACGGATACGGAAGACCCTCCACGACTAGCCACGACCGTCCAGCGCTGTACGCGACAGCCTGGTTCAGCAGTTGCGCCTGTCCCGCCCTAGCTGAAGTACTCGGGGAAGAGCTGCAGGTTGCGCACCAGTTGCGGCAGACCCTCGGGTCCAGCAGCGCTGCGCAGGAATGTCGGTACCTGCTCCGAGGTGTACGGCTCCTGCTTGTACCCGTACCCCTCATAGCTGTACCTGCATCAGACGGATGAGCGGGCTGTTATGGTTCAGCTGGGCGTTGAGTTTCGCGGGCGAACAGCGCTGAAATTCCTTCGAGCGATACTTTACGTGGCACGCACGCATGCTTTGGTCCAGCTAACCAGAAGCTTAGCGAGAGAGGTTGCAAGCCTTATCCTCCTGCCCTCCCCTCCCCCCCCCCCCCCCCCCGCCCGCGTAGCGAGAGAGGCCGCAAGCCTTATCCTCCTGCCCTCCCCCCCCCCCCGCCCGTTAAGTCGACGAGATGCGTTCACGGAGGGCCAAATAAGAGTGGATAGGACAATGACGTAGATGAGTGCTAAGATTAGGGCAGTGGTATTGCCAATAGCTCTGTATGCGTGTTGCTAGATTCCATCATAATTGACCAAATTTCATGGACTGCTGGCATCGCAAGCAAGTCAAAAAATAAATCGCACAGAATAGGCTTGCACATCCCAGTAAGAGAAAGATTCTAAGTAATGACGCACAAAAAAACGCCTGCCAGTGAAATCACCGCAAATTTGCGCATCATTTGAGGTGGCGTCCTCGATTTGCCAGAGATAGGCTCGCAAAGGACGTGGATTGTGAGCACAGTGACCCAAGGGTCACCAAAGCTCGCAAATGTCCGCTTTCGACTGCTGCTGCGCTAAAAAACAACCCTATTCCCTTTTACTCGATTTTCGACTCTGCTGACCGCTTGAGCAGTGTTCATAACCCAAGCGTTCCATACTTACTTGTCTCGATAAGTGTGAACTGATTTGATGACAATTAAAATGACAAGGAATATATTTTGGACCTCTCAGTCAAAAGTTAACTCAGTATTGGAACTGTGCATTACTCATCGGTCATCATGACCACAGAAGGAGCTAGTCGGCTAGCCGAAGGTCCCTGGTCATATCGCCGCCACCCAAAAACCGGCTGGTGGAACGCTGTATACAAATGCACGACGTTCGAAACAAGCACCATGTATGCCTGGCGGCGGGGATGATGAGCCCTTCCGCAACCGGGATCGCAGCTTGGGGACGGGATCGCCCACCTGAACCCGTCGACCACGGTGCCGTCGGCGGCCCTGGTGCCCGCGATGCCCCTCAGCTGCCCGCTGCCCAGCCGCTGCTCCACCCGGAAGCCCCCGTCCTCGTTCTCGTAGGCGAATCTGGCGGCGGGGGGCGTAGAAATCAGTGGGCAGGCTGGGCGATATATGGGGGAATCTAGCCGAGTGTCGCAGCGGGGTTCGAATAAGTCTGGTCATGCCCAGACACAGGTCATGGGGAACTAGATATCATAGCCAGGTCACGGCTAGATATGAACTATGCATTGATGAGCAGTCAGCAACGGTCGACTATTGACCAGAAATGACGCCACTGATGTCCGCTGATGACGTCACTGTTGCCCGCTGAGTTTTCTTTGGAGTTATCTCGGAGGATACCGTGATGTTATCATGGTCAATGATCTACATATGATGTCTTTTGATTGACACATCATTAATTTTGCTGCATATATATATATATATATATATATATATATGTGTGTGTGTGTGTGTGTCTGTGTGTGTGTGTGTGTGTGTGGTGTGTGTGTTGTGTGGTGTGTGTGTGTGTGTGTGTATGTACAGAGAGTGAAAGGGAGAGTGAGATAGAGAGCGAGAGAGAGAGAGAGCGGAGAGAGAGACGGAGCGAGGGAGAGGGAGAGAGACAGAGAGAGAGAGAGAGAGAGAGAGGAGAGAGAGAGAGAGAGAGAGAGAGAGAGGAGAGGAGAGAGAGAGAGGGAGAGAGGATATGACGGAAGTGGATGACTGGTTTCGAAGTCTCCACTCCTGTACAGATTGCCGATTTGCTTTCTCAACCCTAGGAAAAACTGGCATAATTTTGTCAGTCAGAATGAGTCATCCAGTAGAAGTGCTTTTGCTTAGTAGTGCAGAAATGTTGTTGCACCTTTCACAATATATTCCACGCGATTTGACTGGCACGAAACGATTCTGAACGAATCGCGTTTTGAACTAAATTTTGCTCGTCATATTCAAACAAGTCGAAGGAGACCTAAGCCACAGGGTTTAAGGATGTGTTGCCGCTCGTCTTTACAATACAGACCACAAAAATTAAGCACATCAAAGCCGGTTACCACAAAACTTACAACATACGTTTTTTTCCAAAAACTGCTTCACGCGTGTGGGTAGCAACAGACAAGTCTTCATTAAGTGAGGCAATGAAACAGCCACGTGATCTGAGACAGCTGTGCGCGCAACCGCGATAGCATGCGGCGCCTTCTTTTGAACATGCGGTCAGATGAGCAACGGCATTTTTGGGGTAGCAGAAACAGGTGTCAAAATATCAAAACTAAGATGCAGTTACGTGGAAAGCGATAACGGATAGCCCGCGCAAACGTAATCTTACATCAACGGTTTTAACAAGCCACGTGTCGGCACGAAGTAGACGGGGGTGCCGGTAACGTAGTGGTTAACGCGTTTGTGTTAACCATTGCGCATCTGGGAAACCAGAGGTGCTGGGCTCGACTCCCCGCGATGCCCGTCCTTCCCGCCAGGGTGGGAGGCAGGCGACGCCCTATAGCCAAAGGAGCTGAGTGCGTCGTAAAGCCCCAATGATGACGTCGATGGCATGAAGTAGCCACTGCACGGTAAGGGTTGGATAGACCGTTGGATAGAAGGACGTCATTGTAACTATATCACAACCTGGTGGGATTTTGTACAAAACAAGCGGAACGGATTGCTCGTGATGTTTGTACTGCATTGAAACATAACATATTCTTGCATTGGTTATTCTGATAATTTCTTCCTATCTTTATTTAACCAGTACCACTGGCATATTGCGGGTCGGCTTTTGTTAATCAGCACCCCTGGCATATCGCAGATATGTTAGCTGTCGGCAAAATAACTCCTATTGCCGAATAGCCAGGAGCTGAATGTCTTTCTCGCTTACACCAAGTTTAACTTAACTATCGGCGATTCGAAAATGTTTTTACGCACCTACACAAACATGTAGAAGTAGACAACAAAAGAACACGTTCAGCAGAATAACTCATAGAAAAAGAACTTGCTGATAGTAAAGTTATACTTTATGGAAGTGAGGAAGATATTGAGCTTCTGGTTGTTCGGCAATAGAAGTTATTATGCCGAGAACCAACAGATATGCCAGGGGTACTGGTTAAAGAAGCCAGAGCCGCGATACACCAGGGTATATCACAGAAATCTGGCACCATGACACATTCAGAAATCGCCTGGATTTAAGAGAGTTTTAATTTACACGCCGTTCTTAAATCAATTTGCTTAACTGCTAGCCTCCATTTAACTGCACTGAACGGCGTGGTTCAAACTGATCTGGTAGTTGTCCCGAAACCTAAACCGATCTCGCCAATAGTTACGAGTAGTTTAGTAGCAGAGTTTAGTACAGTTTGCTCGGCTGCCCCCCTGAAATTCAGCGCATCGTCTGTCAGCGCACTGGTGCTGGTTCTGCAGATCAAACACACAAGTTCTCCAAGGTGTGAAGCAGACGGCTATACACTATGCGATTTTACAGGACGACAATATGTGATAACATGACTATATAACAATCTTAGTGGGAAATATGAGGCACAAAAAGAATTTATCCATGAGCCACTAGTTACACCCGCCGTGTGATGTGCTCAGCTGCTGGTATTGGCACCCGGATCTGAAAGGTTTACCGTTACAGTTACTTGTGGTTGACATCGGCTAATTTCACCTGGTGAGGCTGGTATCCAGTAAGTTAAACGTTACACCCACTTGTAGCTGCCGTCTGCCGGGTTCAGCTGCTGGTACTGGTACCCGGGAGGCTTCTCTGGCTCATCGGAACCAGGCACGATAAACACGACATCAGAGTCCACAGCGGTGCTGACGTCTTGCGGCAACGGGAGGGATATAGATGGCGTCACCAGCGTGAACACCACGAGCAGGAAAACCGTCTGAAAACAAGATGGAATTAGCACATTTGTTCCAGGAAATGATGGTTACCCTGAGCTACAGCATTACGCCTAAACGCACGGGCTGAACCCATTTCCAGCAGCTCCTTTAATGCAGAAGATTGGTGGAGATAAAAATCATCACGGAAACTTCATGGTATTACTTCACTCGTGAAAATAAGCCCTTCTCGACTCGTTGAGTACGTTCATACTACAATGGTAACCCAGTGATAGCTTGAAATATGTTAACTAGCAGCTCCTGATATCCTGACGGTCATCCAGTTTGAGCGCAAGAGCCGAGGACGCAAGGGACAGACTCAAGAACAGAGCCGAGGATCGGCGCTAAAAAGGAACTCACATCGGTCAACATTAGACTCACCCTCCTTCCACTCCACCCAGCCACCCCCTCCCTGAGATGCTTCAGCATCGTTCCCCTCTATCCTGAGCACTGCTCAGTGTGGAGAGCCACCGCCGGCCCCACCTCTGCATGCGGACCCGACCGGGCAGAGTATGGGATGTGGAGAGAGCAGCAGGGTCACGGCGGCCCCTCCACCAAGGCCAGTCGTCGGACATTATCCCACCGGGCGACCGCACTGGGCCGGCCACTGATGTCAGACACCACGTCACTCGCCGCGGCTGCCGCCGGATCCGCACCCGGAACCGCGCCTGGGTAGGGGGGGGGGGGGGGCAGGAACAGATCGACGAGAAGGTGCTGGCTCCGCCCGCTTTTAGGCTCCGTTCGCACGGAGTGCGTCACAACGTTACGTATGCATGATGGTGCCTGCTTATGCCACTCCTGTGAGGGGCCTGAGAGGGTTCTTTTCTTTCGGCCTTGGTTTTGAAATGTTTGAGAGGGAGATTGAAGAGTCCACTTTTCCAAGGTCACCCTTCAGACATTCCCCAAAAGTTTGTCGCTATTTCGTTAATGGTGGCTATGGACCACTCTGATGGAGAGGTGTCTTTCTCTCCCATGGGCGTATCTTTAACAAATGCTTTTGCCAGCCGAACAGTAAATGTGGCTATATATATCGCTAAAACATACAAAAAATGGATTGCCACCCGAACTTTACCGACCTTCCTCTTAAAGTAGGTGGCCAGAAGCCTCCAATTGAGTGCGAAAATACAACTTGACTTAGCGTTTAAAGACAGGCTAGAAAAGTGAAATGCCCGTCACTGCTGCTACTGCTGTAAAACGCTGCAGCCGGTGGTCAAGTTATAAGTAGATTTCATTCAAGACATGTCAGATCTACTTGAATGAATGTACTCAAATGACGCGCGGGCATAAACAAGAATGGTAGCAGGATAAGGATCCAGGGAGTATAAAGGGCAGGCAAAACTCAAAAATTTAGTAATTTTTATACAAAATTGGCCCCGGTTAGGTACTTTTAATACATGATCTGCTAGAACGGCAGTCTTTGCGCATTTTCAAAATCTGTGTTTCTTCCGTACCTTAAATTTGGAGATTTTGTTCACACCAAAATTTTACAAGAATGCATCAACTATTTGGTCAGTAAAATATGTGTTTCGGTTATCTCCTGAACCGATTTAACTGAATTTGCTACTACTGGATTCGGAGGCAACGCAAGAGGGGAGTTATTTATTTATATATATATATATATATATATATATATATATATATATATATATATATATATATATACATCAGTTTTAGTCCTCCACATGTACATCTTCCCAGATCAGTTTGAGTTTGGGCACGGCTCGGCACCCTTACGGTGAGCTAACGTCACCCCCCTCCCCCCCTCAGGGTTGCTCTAATGAGCCACAGAGATCGCCCACTCAGTCTGTGCACATACGCTCAGAGGCTAGGTTCAGGTCCCGAGAGCGGAAAACTCACGTCCGTGGCCCCTAGCACTAACTAGTTAATAGCATAGTGGGCTCGTCTGTGTGGGCCCGTCTGCACTGACCAGCTAATAGCAGCCTGGTCAAAACAGCTCTATATCTTAAGCGGAAACTTAGCCGTCTTCAACAACAATGCTGTGAAAAGCACCTACAGCACTGGAATGATTATCAGTTGGATGGCCTTCCCTCCACTAGTTTTGAGAACAAAACGGACCATATTTAGAGAAAACCTGTTTATCTTCCTGGCGTATATTAGGGGTAGGTTTCACCATTTTCCCCTGCTTATTCCCTTCTTATACTGCGAAGCTGACCTAAGACGGCATTACTGCATGGCTGCTCAGCATCCAGACTAATGGTGCTAAACAACACCAATTTGGGATAACGGCCCTATCTCCAAGGGGTGACTTTAGCGGGTGCCGAGCACGACGCTAGGACGCGTCCTATAACCAGGGGCCGCGGGTTCCCACCTCACTATGCCGCTGCCGGCAGTGACTTGTCGTCCCGCTACGATCGGCGTACGATCTTGCAGCCATTAACGGGAGCAGCAGATACACGGTGACATGATCGAATAAGGGCAGACATACCACATGGATCTCACCGCGCCGAATAACGTAGTCACCAAGCATTCGCCTCAAGCGCAGCCTCCTATCGCAACCCGACCTCAAGGTCAACTAGACGCATCACATCATCTGCGGCGCACGAGCGCGGCTGTTGCTCTCTGCTGTCAGCGACTGGCAGCGTGCTTGGGCGCTGCAACACCTCACAGAAAACCGACCGCACGACGCCCCAGTGTCGGCATCGGCCCCGCACCGGCAGCCGTCACAGAACACCGCTCTCCGCGGAGGCCCGCCAGGCCCCACACTCACCACCGCCATGTTGTGTCGCAGACTGGGAGCGTCTGCCGCCGCGGGCTCGCCGGCCGCGAGTGAGAGCCGTGAGAGGCAGGGGGGGGGGGGAGGGGCGGCGCCGCCGGGCTGGGGGATCTCCGGGAGGGCTGGATCTTACGAGAAAGGACCTCCATTGACGCGGTTGTTGTGAGCTGAGAGCATGTGGCGAAGGGATCGCTCACCCCATTCCTGTGAACCATCCCTTCGCCATGCCAGATATGGGGGGGGGGGGGAGCTTGGAGTCCATCAGGACCTCCGGCCAGAGTTTCTAAACCACTCTCGACATGGGTGTAAAAATGAAGGTGGTCGGAGGGCCCATGCCCCTTATCACATGTTCCATACGCTTCGTCCGCCTCCACACTTTCCGTGGATTGACGGTAGACTGTATCCCGTCCCAACATATTGCCGAGCGAGCCTATTTTGCACTTAATCTAGTCATAATCCTCATCGCTTTGGACCTTTCCGATCCAGTCCGGAGCAACGAAGTAGTAAATGAATCTCAAATCAGCGGATTTCCCTCTGTTGAGAGCTTTACGAAGCATTATGTTTGATTAGATTATTCACAATGATGGGTGCGAACTGGCGTATCCCGGCAGGTATCAAGTTAACCCGCCTCTATATGGGGCACAGGGCCCGAATATTCTGCGTTTACTTGTTTGGGATACATACTTGGCATACATTTCAGTCACAATTTTGATGCAAGTCAGTGGTAAATAAGCAGAAGTTTTTGTCATCAACGTTAGAAGCTATCCAACGCGTTATTAAGTGTTATATCAGTACTTGTGCGGGATGCACGTGCACTACATAACTGCTTCGATTGCTAGGTTATTTTCGTCGCGGGGATATTTGCTTGATCAGGGCAGGCAGAACCGCAAGCCTTTTCAAACGTCAAAGGGGTGTGGCGGTGCATAATGATGTATGCATGTCACAAATTGCATGAATTTTCTATTGCATGCGTATGCTGAAACGAAGAAAATATTTATGATAAATATACATATAACATAAATAATGACATTTCGAGAACATATATTTATCGAAATAATAGCAGAAGTGAAAAATCACAACTTTGAATTCGCCTTTGCTATTGTTTCGATAAAAGTATGCTGCCGAAATACCAACCCAACTATATCTCCATTCTCCTGGTTTTTATCCGAGGAATAACGTATGCTCACTTATAATTGTTGGTTTACTTTTGGGTGGAAAAGGCTGTTATAGCCGCCACGATTTCCCTTTTTAGTGAATATGCTCCTCAATACGTCACTGGTTGATCACGCCTTTGTACCTTGCACAACACCCATTGAGAGTTATTTACGGCCGCTATACCTGGAGACCGTGCGCACGAACACCAGATATGAACGGCTAGTCAATCATATTTGTTCTCGTCCTTGATCGCTGCATGGCGTATGGAATGGCAGGATTTGAATGACGTTATTAGGGCGTCGTGGATGCCTGGATGACCTTGAAAAAGTCTCTCCGAAAAAGTCTGCACAGCTTCGCGAATGTGTAGCACATAAACTAGACGGCTTTAGGTCTTAAGACGGGCTGGGCTTTGAACTGCATCGATTTATCCTGAGGGTGGCTATTTCAGTTTAAAACCCCGTGCAAATGTGGAAAACTCCCTTTAACACGCGCCCGGGTGGCCAGCTGAATGCTCCTCGCTCGGATGGGATTTGACTCGCCTCAGATCTCAACAATTAAGAAAGCTAGAGACCCCAAATTTGCAAGGTGTGTCTGTATGTGAGCTCACTTGTTTCAAAGTTTGAGGCTCCTAGGCTGTGACCTTCTGTTCATAAGGTTAAACAAGTTGTTAAGTGCGTTTTCGAGTAACATCATTCACATAGATGAGATAAAAGTAATAATCTTATTCTTCGGTGAAAAATCAGGAGAATGGTGATATAGATGGTTTGATATTTCTACATCATGCCTTTATCGAAACAGTAACAGAAGACAAGGGCAAACTCCAAATTGATATCCAGAGTGCACCCAGACGTTCTCATGCAACCATCGTGAACCTGGATGCATGTTCAAAGCAAATGCTCATTGGTGCTAATCTCAGGCCAGTGACCTTGTTTGACCTTTACGAGGTCATGGTGACCAAAATCACACAAGATTGCCTTAGCATTTGTATTTGAAGCTTCAAGGATTACGCTAAGCGGTAGGTTTCCAAAAAGATGGTTACGTGGGTCCATTTAGATCAGCGACCTATTCCAACCTCCAAGAAGTCAATGAAAGATATGTGATGCGATCCTGCCGTCAATATGTTTAAATGAACAACAAGAACTACCCCATACAGCAAGCTCTCAAGTGAAAAAGCAGGTTGGTTATGACTTTGGTCTGTCCTTCATAACTCACCCTAGGTTAATGGAATTTGCTATCTTAATTGTTGTGTTGTCTAAGGAACTCTCTCAAACATGTATCGTTTCGTCTGACACTCCACTGTTGCATCAGATTGAACCATTTCCTAGAGCCTGCCTTCGCTGAATCCATGGCCTGACATTGACATTCAATAGGTCAACGACCGTACAGATTACATCAAAGCAACTAAAATGTTTCACGAAGACCGCTTACATGTTATTTTAGCTCACCTCCAACGACAAAGAAGAAGGTAAGTACCGAATGCACCCTTCTGCACAGTACCACGGAGAAGGGTGAAGTCAAGCCTGGGCAAAAAACTGAAAGACTTCAATCGGCACTGTAAACATAGCACAAATCTGTCACCATCACAAGAGAGTAACACCACGCGCTGCGCCCGATGTCCGGCAATCCGAGCACAAGCAGACAAGAAACGACGGGCTTTGATGATTCTTTATCGTCAGCCTCAAAGCGTCACCTGCAGTACATGTTTTCCTGCTAATGGCTAAGAAATGCATGATATCTGAGACTAGTGGCTGTCGCTGGCGAGCCATGCTTGTCGTTTATGAGCATATCCTGTATGAAATATGAAGCGCATGTTTCGTGCGCGTTCATTGTCCTCTACAAGCAACTGCCAACTTAAACACGGGGCAACGCACGCATCACTTCACTTCATTATTTAGAGCCATTGGAGCTTTATGACGCACTGAGCTGCTGGGACCATATGGCGTTGAATACCTCTTAACCTGGCGGGAAGGGCGAATACCGCGGCGAACCAACCCGGACCTCCGCATTTCTTGACTGCATTTGCTGAAAAAACATTCGTTCACGACTCTTGTGTATTGGTACAAAAATATAACATCGTGAAGGGCGCTGACGAAGGGTGACAGACTTGACATGAACTCAATGCACCTGGTATTCAGCAGCACCAGCGACAATTCAGGCGTCTCTCACTCAAAGGCACGCCTGAAATTTTCGCCAACGGGTGGTAGCTGGAGCGTTTAGTCGGACTTCTCGACGGCGGCGTCCTTGAGGACCAGGCCGGAGTAGCCGTGAGCCAGACCGGCGTATCCGGCGGCGTAGCCGTGAGCCAGACCGCTGTAGCCGATGGCGGCGGGGGCGGCGGCGGCGTAGCCGTGGGCCAGACCGCTGTAGCCGATGGCGGCGGGGGCGGCGGCGGCGTAGCCGTGAGCCAGACCGCTGTAGCCGACGGCGGCGGGGGCGGCGGCGGCGTAGCCGTGAGCCACACCGGCATAGCCGATGGCGGCGGGGGCGGCGGCCACGTGGGCGGTGCGCACGGCGGTGACGGCGTGGCGGACGACGGGCTGCACGACGGGCTGCACCACCTCGGTGGTCTCGACGACCGGGGTCACGGCGTACGGGGCCGGCACAGGCACCGGGCGGCGCACGGCCACGGGGCGCGCCACGGGCACGGGCACGTCCACCTTCTTGTACGTGATCTCAGGCTCCACGCGGGTGATGTGCGGCGTGATGCGGGTGACGGGACGGCCGGCGGCGGAGATGGCAGTCTTCTTGACCAGCGCCGGCAGACCAGGCGACAGGCCGTTGGTGGGCAGGGGGGCCGGCACGGCGGCGTTCACGTTGCTGTAGGCGACGGCGGCCGGGGCAGCAGCGTAGCCGTGGGCCAGGCCGATAGCCGGAGCGGCGGCGTAGCCGTGCGCCAGGCCGGTGTAGCCGAGGCCGGAGTAGCCGAGCGCGGCGTAGTTGCCGGGCGCGGCACTGGCAATCGCCACCAGGGCGCTGAGAACAACCTGCGACAGGAGACGGGCGGACAGCGTTAGCGGGCGGACAGTGCAGCCGTCTGCTGGACAACCACGTTGGGCTGGGCGTGTCGCCGACGTCTGCGAAACACTGGCCGCGCCTGTGTTCACCTTGCTGCGAGAAACGCAGCGGAATTATCAGAGATGGTCGTTTACCGTGACTGTTGCAAACTTGATCAGGCTCGATTTAGCGGTATATAGCTGTTTTTAGCTCACGATCTGGAGGCATCGAATAAAAAGGCAGGCTTTTTGGTGTTTCATGTGTTAAGGACTTTTGTCCCCTGCACAGGCCTCAGCTTTCGCCACAACTCACCAGGGGGTTCATGACTGGAGAGGAGGTTGAGTGAGATGTGCCTACCGGAGCCGGCCGGCCCGTTTTATACTGACGGCCATTGTGCGACCCTGGGACGGGCGGACGAACCAATGAGGGCGCGGCGCCGCGGCACACTGCGTTATTTCGAGTTCAGAAGTGGCCGAAACCTTTAGCTCGGTAGCCAACCATCACATAAGCGTCGTCTTAAGTTCATATGAAACCAAAAATGTGCTTGTCTTGTTCTCTGGCAATGTTAGTGCTATAGCTCATGATCGCATCATGAGCGCCAAAACTAAGCTCAATATACATTAGTTTTGCTGCTTTTTAAACTTTGATGTGTCATTGACACCCATAGTCTCACATGACGGAAATCAACGCGTTACAGAAATTAGCACCAAACTGGATAATATATCACATCAAGATTGCAGCAAACATATTAACGCGTGCGTCTCATTATTTTATGACGTGTCGTGGAGTAATGTCGTCTGCTATGTTTGTCACGCCCGATTTAACAAGCGGGATCTGTTTAGTCTGGGTCGTAATAATCAGTTCAACTTCAAAAACAAACCATGTGAAATTA